CAGCGGTGGGAGTCCCGAGAAGAAGGGAGAGGGAGCGGCCTAGATTTTGTACGTTCCCTGAGGCCGTTTTCGCAAAGAAGGTGGACAGGACATTGCGGACGGGGCGGGGGACCACCGAGTCGGGAAAAGAAAAGGGGAGAAAATGAACATCGTAGCATTCGTCGCCGCTTCGTTCCGCCGTGCATGAACCTAACCACCCTACGCCGTGCTCCGCCCGTCATGCCCCCGCCCGCCATGCCCTTCGTCTCGTTTTGGAGTCGCTCACGCATACAGCCCGTCGGGATCGTCATCCTCCTCATCGTCCTGCACAATCGGCACTTCCTTCTTCTTCGTCAGGTCCTTGCGACACATGGGACAGCTCCCCTTGCCCATGAGCCAGGGACCGACGCACTCGAGGTCGAACCTGTGGCTGTGGTGGCACGGCAGCTCGACAACGAGACAGTACTGGTCGTCGAGGAAGCGCTCGGCGCAGATGGGGCACTGCTCCTCCTGGCCGAGCGTCTTGCGGTCGACGCGGTCGAGGGCGTCGAGGTAGGACTGGCCGACGCCGGGAATCTCGACGGGGGGGCTGGTCAATGTCGGCGGAGAGGGCTTCGACGAGGGACTCGAGGAAGGGAGGCGTTGGCGGTCGAGGGGGCGGTCGCATGCAGGGTCTGGAACTGCTGCTGCAGGAGGGTGAAGAGGGAGGCGGCGTCGACGGGGGTCGGGGTCGCGTGGGGGTTGTTGTGCGGCGTCGAGGACGAGGAGGGGTTCGTGTGAATCTGGTGGAGGAAGGCGTCAAAGGTGGACATGTCGACGCGACGGGAGTGTGCGTGCTGGCGCGGCGGTTTGATGTTGTGCTCGACTGTGGTTGTTAGGGGCATGCATGATCGGCCACTGGAAATGGGGGGGGGGGCTTTACCTTCGTATTGCGTCGCCATGGTTGCGGTTGGGGTTTGAATCCGATGCGACAAAAGGTGATTTTTCGCTGACGATGAGGGATGGGCTGCTTACTGCTGCGAGATTGTCGTCGTCGAGCGCGTGGTGTTGATGTGTAGTGTTGAGGTTGATGAGCGAGGCTGGCTCCAGGCAGTGCCGTCGTCGCAATCCTGTCGGGAGCTTTTGGAGCTACCCCGCCTGCCTCTGTGACCGATCCACTATCATTGGCTTGCGGTTCTTCAGGTGATTTGGGTCAGCCAACTTGGACGATGGGTGCTTCAGAACCACGCGTCCTTCTGCCTGCATCATTGCGTGTCACCAAGGTTGGCCGTTGAATGTTTCGGGTCTCCCTATGCATCCATGATTCACATGGCAGTATGGTTGTCGCTCGTGGTGAGCGCAAGATATGACACGTCGGCCTAGAAGCATGCACCGCTCTGGTAGTGCGATCAACGGCCATGCATCAATTGGCGAGGGGACCCTGCAGTGCTGGCCAACTCCTTCGGCATCCTTACCCGGAATACTGCCTCCTCGTAGGGATGTGCCATCCGCTTTGCTAGTATTGCCCATACAGTTCAGATATACCCATAAGGTCTCTACTGGCACTTGCATGCTGACAATAGTTTAAGGTTGTCGGGGGTTGCTGACAGAGCAACCACGCACTCGCGAACCAAAAAGGCTGTTCACTAACATACCTACTAACCTTAAATCTACTACCTACCAGACCACTATGCTATACCGACTAGCCTGCCCAAGTAAAACACCTGTTGCCAACAGGTCGCCAGCGGCCTCAATCAATGACAGGTTATTTCTAGGCCTGTCTCTTTAGCGTGGGGCCCTCTATCTGTCACTTGTCTACTAGGTACTTACGAAGCCTTCTGCATCAGTGGCGTCTCCTACCCTAGGCCACAGCAGGGCCATCATCACTCCATCCTTTGCAATCTCTTCGAAGGCGAGACCTGTCCACCAGTCCTCAAGATGTACATTGACGTGCATAGGAGATACTGAAGAGTCTGGTACAGCCCACAAGTAAAACTGAAAAATGGGCAAAGCCCAGGCAATGACGGGGTACGGGCTAATTCACGAACTCGTCCGCCAAAAGGGTGCTCTTGTAACGGTTCCAATACTCACCTGCCTTACTGGGGACATGGCTACTCCAATACCTGTGCACTGCCAGAACCGATCGTCGGACGGACCCTTCGGGGCATGTTACCGTCGCCGACTGACATCATGGCTTCAGGGTCTTGCGACATGGTCGGACATAATGGGGGGGGGGGCAGCCATTCCCCAAACCCTTAATCTTAACCCCGAAACTAGACTGTATCTCATGGGACCGGAACGGCTGGCGGTCGTCCGTCCCAGCACTTCGACTCATCCCTCGACAAGTCCAGAGCAGCAGCCGCAGAACATACCCCTACCCATCGAAGAACTGCGATACCTGCGTAGAACTCGGCCAGAATGTCTGCCCCCTTCACCTCCGCCGCCGTCATCGGCAGCACCGGCCTCGTCGGCTCCCCCATGCCTAGCCACGCTCCTCACAACCACCAGCATCAAGTG